TTCCATTCACATCACCAAACCAAATACTCTGTAGTATCCGTTCAAGCAACACATACCAGCAGTTGAATTACACTCATAAATGCAGATTTTACTCTATGCCATTCAAATGAGAAATAAATTCCACAAATAGCTCAATCACAATGTTTTGTCATCTTACTCTCTGATACAAAATGAAGTTCCATCACTTCACTACGTTAGCTCTACCCTGATAATTAGTTCAATGGAAACCCTATATTGGCTTTGTACTATATTATACATTATGTCTATAACCACATTACTTATGGTCAGTTTATTCCTTAAACCTTATCTCTATCACATGATCCAACAACGGAACAAACTTAGAAAACCCATATTAATTACTTCCCCACCCATGACGTACGTCTACGTTTGGGTGAGCAAGTTTATACAGTGAGGGAAAAAAGTATTTGATCCCCTGCTGATTTTGTACACAAAAACAAACAAAAAATCCAGAAAAACGAATGTCAAAAATGTTATCAATGGATTTTGCATTTTAATGAGGGAAATAAGTATTTGACCCCCTCTCAATCAGAAAGATATCTGGCTCCCAGGTGTCTTTCATACAGGTAACGAGCTGAGATTAGGAGCACACTCTTAAAGGGAGTGCTCCTAATCTCAGCTTGTTACCTGTATAAAAGATCTGTCCACAGAAGCAATCAATCAATCAGATTTCAAACTCTCCACCATGGCCAAGACCAAAGAGCTCTCCAAGGATGTCAGGGACAAGATTGTAGACCTACACAAGGCTGGAATGGGCTACAAGACCATCGCCAAGCAGCTTCGTGAGAAGGTGACAACAGTTGGTGCGATTATGTGCAAATGGAAGAAACACAAAATAACTGTCAATCTCCCTTGGCCTGGGGCTCCATGCAAGATCTCACCTCGTGGAGTTGCAATGATCATGAGAACAGTGAGGAATCAGCCCAGAACTACATGGGAGGATCTTGTCAATGATCTCAAGGCAGCTGGGACCATAGTCACCAAGAAAACAATTAGTAACACACTACACCATGAAGGACTGAAATCCTGCAGCACCCGCAAAGTCCCCCTGCTCAAGAAAGGACATATACAGGGCCGTCTGAAGTTTGCAAATGAATATCTGAATGATTCAGAGGAGAACTGGGTGAAAGTGTTGTGGTCAGATGAGCCCAAAATGGAGCTCTTTGGCTCAACTCAACTCGCCGTGTTTGGAGGTGGAGGAATGCTGCCTATGACCCCAAGAACAGCATCCCCACCATCAAACATGGAGGTGGAAACATTATGCTTTGGGGGTGTTTTTCTACTAAGGGGACAGAACAACTTCACCGCATCAAAGGGACGATGGACGGGGCCATGTACCGTCAAATCTTGGGTGAGAACCTCCTTCCCTCAGCCAGGGCATTGAAAATTGGTCGTGGATGGGTATTCCAGCATGATAATGACCCAAAACACACGGCCAAGGCAACAAAGGAGTGGCTCAAGAAGAAGCACATTAAGGTCCTGGAGTGGCCTAGCCAGTCTCCAGACCTTAATCCCATAGAAAATCTGTGGAGGGAGCTGAAGGTTCGAGTTGCCAAACGTCAGCCTCGAAACCTTAATGACTTGGAGAAGATCTGCAAATAGGAGTGGGACAAAATCCCTCCTGTGAGATGTGTGCAAACCTGGTGGCCAACTCCAAGAAACGTCTGAGCTCTGTGATTGCCAACAAGGGTTTTGCCACCAAGTACTAAGTCATGTTTTGCAGAGGGGTCAAATACTTATTTCCCTCATTAAAATGCAAATCAATTTATAACATTTATGACATGCGTTTTTCAGGATTTTTTTGTTGTTATTCTGTGTCTCACTGTTCATATAAACCTACCATTAAAATTATAGACTGATCATGTCTTTGTCAGTGGGCAAACGTACAAAATCAGCAGGGGATCAAATACTTTTTTCCCTCACTGTACATATATAACGTTAGAAACTTCTAGGTACTCACATCAAATAATCCGTTTGTGGTGTTTTTAACCATTCTTAATCGACTCAAATCACTTCTTCAAACATTTTCCCAGCGGACCAAAAAAATAGACTGTAATTTCAGGACACTGCCCTGCCTGTCCAGAAAATACAAACCTTTCCACTACTCTCTAAAATAACCTCACAATCTCCATACCACTCCTTGATATTCAATGACTTAATTATGTTATATATTGTAACTTCTTATCCAAACTTATATCAAATTATTATACCCATTTTTAGAACTTATTATGCACCCCTCAGATTAAATTAACTTCTGCTCTTGTTCATGAGATAGCCGATGTTGTCCCATTCAATTACTTAACTTTACATTACTTTTACAAAATACTTATTCTAACTGCGGATTTGCCTGTAATAATTTCTTCATTTCCTGTTTCTCTCTTCGAGTTAAATGAAACTCTGCTTTACTTTTAATAGTGACAGTTTTTTTTTCTTCCGATAACGGTCTACTAAGATGGACATTCATTACTGCTATTAGTTCATGCAATATTAGTAATTAAACACTTAAATAAAATCCCCATCCTGATCTGTATTAAAATTTAGTTCCTATTTGTCGTTTTGGTGCTATGATTCAATATGTTACATTGCATTGGCTCCATCTCCTGGGCGTTCTGAGTAATTAAAAAGGGATTAATTCTCCCTTCTGTTTATGACGATTTACCACATCAAAGGTCCGTAACCTACTTATTTTATAATGTCTTACACACTACGGGACTAAAAACCCACTCTCTTTATAATGTACTGTACATTAAGGGTGCCCTGCCCACTCTCTTTATGATGTATCTTACATCAAGGGTGCCCTGCGCCCACTCATTTGAACTTCTGTTGCTTTTACTCCTTACTTCGACCATACCCTATTTTTGAATCATAACACCATGTCATAGTCCTATTTTATATTTCTCCTTACATCTCTTACATAACTCAATACCACTCATCGTCCCCTTTTAAAATATTGCTTAAATGTTCGTTAAAGCTAAGCCTTACCACAGATAAGCAAAATTTGACATAATCAAAAAAATGAAAGTCTGCTTACCTGTTAGTTTGGCTGTTAACTACATCCTGTTCATTTAGACGCCAATCTGTTATGATGAGTTTCTAGGGTAACAAGTACTTAAGAATGTAAGAATAGATTTAGACACTTAGCTGGGGAGTTCATATAAGATATGTAATATGGTACCATGGTTAGTTATAACAGAAGGAGGACATATCCCTGCCTCTGCCATCTTCCAACTCCATAACAAAGAGATCCTTCAGCTTATATACACTCTGTTACAAGTTTCTTCACAAACATCTGGTAAACCTCCATGGGCACTCCCTTTCTTTTATGTTATTACCATTTACCCCTGTCACTATATCCTGTCCATCAATTATTCTAAGATCAACATCAGTAATCTACTCTGACATAAGGAATGCAGACTGTGGCACCAAACCACTTACCTACTAACTCTCCCCTGGTCCAAACAATACCATGACATGACATCATTACAGGAACCTAAGAGGCAAACATAAGCAAGCAGGTGAGAAATATTTACATTAGTACTGTAGGAAATAGCCTTCCCCCAGCTACTGGCTTTCCATGTGGAGATGAAGGATCAGTAAGGTGACTTTTCAGTTCATAAGTCTATTTATTCACCGTACACAGGATCCTGGGAACACTGCCTCAGCATGTACTCAGAGAATGGCTAGAACATGTTCCAACCCAGTCAAAACAAGTCACACTTCTATAGGTTTCAGTTAACAAACAACAAGTTGGTATTGACATTATCATCGATAAGGCTGATTTCTAGTGAAGTTTTTGTACACTCTGAACAAGTACATCAACATTTTCCCCAAGCTTTCTCATTTACTTTATGGATCATTTCATTTGATTGCAGTCACTTTTTGACTGCACCCCATTTGATTGGAACGAAACTTTCCATACATATTTGCCCATGGTAGAAGTGGTCAGAAAGTGGCTTTTTGGACCTGAATGCAAAAACATTCAGGAGATTGAGGTGCTTAAAGTTGACCCATTTCGCATGTCCCATTCAGGATACACACAAACGTGTAAACTATTTATAAAAATGTAAATGTTTTAAACTTCAACATCAATTATCAAAAACGTGTAAACAATATTTTTTCCGCATATGTTGTATCTTAAATCCTCATTTACATAATCTGAGGTGTATGTGTTGTGCCAGCCATCAGTTGAGACACAGCATAATCTTGCCAATATTTTTTTGTAAGCTTTTAAATTATATCAAACTCAACCTTTAATCTTTTCCAGTGATGAAGAAGATATGGATGTATGGTAGGGTATGCAAAATGGGTCAACTTTGGGCACCTCTATCTCCTGAATGTTTTGGCATTCTGGTTCAAAAAGTCACTTTCTGACATCTTCTACTATGGGCAAATACGTATGGGAAGTTTTGTTCAAATCAAAAGGGGTGCGGTCAAAAAGTGATTGAAATCAAATGGAATGACCCTTATCAATAACATATGGTAATGAATTGAGTCACATCCTGTGAGAGTTGGAAATACCCCTGTCTGCCCACCCCTATTCTGTGTCACCCCTCTCACTTTGACTCCCAATTTAACTTAGGTAATATTGACCCAGGATCACAGGCATGTGTACAATAGTGTGATACATTTGCAATCACTACTCAGCTCCAATAAATAACATAATACCCTTTCATCTAGATCAGGGTTTACCAAAGTCCGTCCTGGACTTACCTTCAATTTCATTTGGCCTCTTCTTCTGCTTCTCTGACCACTTGTAACCAATTCCAATTATTTTTGCTGTAACCAGAAGAACTTGTCAATGACTGGAAATCCAATAAAGTGTATCTAAATATTGACCTGTAGTGTGTTATTTTGTGTGTTCATTTTTCATGCCAATGCTAGCTATACATATTACACAAAAACTGAGGGAATACATACCATATTTGTTTGCCAGTGGCTTGTGATCGGTGTACTTACCTGAGTTTCTGGAGTCTTTTGGAGGTTCATGAAGGAGAGACTTCATCCAAATGGTTTGCCTGAACAACGTTCTTCTTCATCAAAATGGCAGCAGGCTCATGCATTTCACGCTTCTTTTTGAAGCTCTTTTCACATGCACCGCTTGGTCCAGGCTTCAGCTCCCCTATATCTTGTCGCTTCTCTTCCCTAATAGGGGGCTGTTCCTTCGTGTTCTGGTAGTTCACAGGAGAATCTTCCTCTTCCTCGTCAGAACGCTGTGCATCTTCAGCATCCATGTAAGACCTGTTGAACATGACGTCATTTTCATATTCAAGGGGCTTGAAGTAGTGCACCTTCCTTGGATTCAAAGCAAAGCTGATGTTCCGCTTCGGTTTTGGCGGAGCATCGACACGTTGTAGAATGAGTCGGATGATCCTGGTCTCCGAGCTGGACCTGGGACTGGCCTGTGGAGCTTCCACTTCCTCTGGAGGACACCCTGATCGTCTGTGAATCCGGGGGGTTGGAGTCGGGAAAAAGCTGCTCTCCCAATCAGAGAACACCTTCTGCCTCACTGAGACTTTTGCCCCAAAATGTCCTTTGCCATGTGGTGGAGATACCCTGGCCGGATTAGGGCAAACATGACTACCTTGGCTATAAACATTGGAACTGGTAGGCTTGATAAAAGGTTTCAGCTTGTGTGCCACTCTTGCAGGTTTGTTCAGCGTTTGTGATTCAGGTGAAGCACTGGGAGATGTCTCTTCTCTGTTCTCTCCCTCATTCCCATCCTTTGAAACCTCTGGAGTCCTCAGAAGCGTGGGAATCCTTGGCAGCTTTGGCTTGAGGGGCGGCGAGTCATTCTCACACTCGCTTTTTGAAATCCTTCCTTTCTCATTCCTATTCAACACCTCCAGAATCTTTGTCAACTTCTGTTTATGTTTAAGTTTCATGGACGAGTCAGGATTCTTAGAAACCTTTACCCCTAAACCCCCAGGGTCTCCTCTATCCTCCACCCTCTTCTGCCTTGGTGGGGAACCTTCCTCTGTCTTCAGGCTTGGTGGAGAACCTTTCCTGACAAGATGTTTGGATAAGGACAGCTTTTCCAATCTGACTGTTAGGTGTTTAATTTTTTGCTTGTGTTTGACGCCGTTCCTCTGCCTCTCTTTGACAACAGGAGACACTGACTTTGCAGGGGAGCGGTGTCTGCTAGTTTGGTTCAGGGCTTTAGTCTTTGGCTGTTCCATTGTCCTTTTGGGGACTTCCTCAGTATGTTTGGAGGGTGAGCTGTTTGTGGAAGGCTTTTTGGGGACGTTTATGGAGAGTTTGAGAGAAACGGTGGTACTTGAGGATCCCTGCACATGGAGGGTTTTCACCCCAGGGCACAGCGGTGCGTTTCCACTGCAGCTGTCCCTCTCTCTTTCCACCAACTGGCACTGCAACTGTTTGGAGTCACCAAAGTTCCTGCCTTCAGTTTCAGTTGAAGTTCTCCTCTTCTGTGACATCTTGTCCCTAGATTGACTGCCCTCACCCACATTTTCAATTGAAGGTCTCCTCTTCTTGTCCCTACTTTGATTATTCTCACTCTCTTTCTCAGTTGAATGTCTCCTCTTCGGTGGCTTCTTGTCCCTGGATTGACTGCCCTCACACCCTTTTTCAGTTGATGATGCCTTCTTCTTGTCTTTGCATCGATTTTCATCACTCTCAGTCGAATGTCTTCTCTTGTGCGACGCATGTGGCTTCTTGTCCCTGCGTTGATTATTCACAGTTGCCTTCACCCCAGCGCTCTTAGGGGGTTGGGATGGTGACCGTCCCCTCTCTGCTCTCCCATTGCTTTTCCTGGGCTTTTGTCTATCAGGTAACGTTGGATGGAGGGTTTTCTCCTGTTCTACATATACATATATTTTTTTCTTTGACTTGCAGGTTTTGTATTGGGTGACAAAGTCAGAAACAAAGTCAGCTCTTAACTTAGAGGGGTTCTCAACCTTGCGAAGTGGTGATGTACTCGTCCTACAGTCTTGGTCCTTCTCTTGCCGTCTTTCCCTATCATCAGAACCAGGACTGACTTTGCTTTGGGTAGTATGTTCTTGGGCTGACTCACATGGTGCTTTGGCATCAGTTTCAGGCTCTGTCCTTTTAACATTAGAAGCATGAGCCTCAATCTGAGCATGTTGTTCATTAGGGGTCTCCTCTGTCTCCTGATCTGAATCCTCACTTGTATCTGACCAGAGAAAAAAGTCAGTGATCGGTACGACGGTTGTACATTGCTGCATTTCTCCCTCTGTTTTATTGTCACTGGATTGATTGTCATCACCCTCTTCTTCAGTTGATTGTATCTGCTTCATGTCTCTGCATTGATTGTCCACAGTTGCCTTCCCCCCAGAGTCCTTAGGGACCTCTTCTGTCTCCTGATCTGAATTGTCATTTGTATCTGACAAGGTAAAGCAGTGAGCGATTGTTATGCAGCTTGTAGCTTGCTGCAATCCTTTCTCTCTCTGACAACTGGAGCATAGGCCAATTTCAAACCCATTGTCAGTTTCAATAATACAAGGACAGTAGCAGGACTTATCTAAGCTGCCACAGACTATATTCTCTAGTTGCTTTGTCTGGGTCTTATCTTTGTTTTCAGAGCATGGTTCATGGGACCCGAGTTGGAGGTCAGTGCCATTTTCGATCTGGCAAAACAGTCTCACAGCATCCTCTGATGTGAGGACGGTCAAAATCATTGGGGAAAGGGGTTCTGTCTCTGAGTCTGCGTCTTTTGGGAGGTCTGTGTCTGTTGGGGGGTCTGCGTCCATCATGAGGGCTGTGTTTGTTGCGAGGTCTGAGTCTGTTGCTTCTGCTTCAACAGGTTGTCGTGCAGGCAAGTCCACAGTCTCCATCTTGCTGTGGAAGGTGTCATCCATTTTTACTCCCCCAACCACTTTGGAACTCTCCTCTGCTTTATCTGGTATAAACCACAGAGACCAAGCTCTTCCAGATTCTTTGTCTATGTCATACAGCTTCTCGTTGACATTTAACCATGATGACCTGTAACCCACTTGGGAAGAGCTGTCAACATGTGCTGGAATGGGAAAGTTCTTGACGACTTCCCCCAGTGATATACCATTGACTGCAAAGAAAACCACTGCCTTCTCATCCTCTGTGGCCCAGGCAGTCACATCCTGCATGATTTCCTCATCCCTTTTATCTTTTAAAGCTTTTAACAGGTTAGAGGTATCCCCACCCCAATACATCTCCAATATGGCCTCTAGACAACCATCCTTTGCCTCTGTGATTGTTGCTGCACTCTCCAGATAATTAACCAGTTGCTGCAGCGTACTTAATTTGAACTGAACTTCATCAATTGTGGACAAATCAAGAGTTCTCTCATCTGCGCCATTAGAGCTAACGTCCACAATTGTCTGGGTACCACAAATGCGTACAATATCAGTTGCCTGAGGGTTGGTGTGGACAAATGGTGAAGGTGAACTCTTGTCCATCTGTGGATTGACCTGAAGGACCTCATCATTGTCCTCTCCAGTAGATGCCAGTGAACTTGTTGCACATGCATCTACTGGCTTATCACACTCCATAACACTCTCAACTTGAACAGTCTCATTTAGGACAGATCGAGAACTTGCATCATCTTTAGCTCTTTCCCACAGGCTTTCCGCCTGTTGTTCGGTAATGGACCAGGCCTGTAAAATCTTAAATGGCACCTCATTGCCTGCATTCTCTGTCTCCATGGGCTCTGGGGACTTCTGTAGACCCATTGGAGGGACGATAGCCACGGGGGGCGGAGCGGTGGCGACTGCCGTCAGGGTCATACACCTGGGGGTGGACTTAATCTCTAGCCGTACAGTGGAGTCCACAGCACTAAACCACTTAGGGGGCCTCGCCTGGTCGTCTTTGGTGTTTAGATGTCGGTGCGTTTTGCCTGCTTGTAAAACATCCATCTTCTCTGTGCTGGATTGTTGGGACTGAGAGGGGTCTTGTGTTGAGTTGTTCCCATTTACGGGTCCATTTTTAGATCTTAAAACACTCTGGAGCCAGTCCTGTATTTCATTAAGTGAGATCTTATGTTTATGAGGAGGTTTGTTCTGAGGTGTCTCAGTGAGAGGATTGGGAGAAGGAGAGGGATCATGTTGCTGTTCAGGGGTGGCAGAGGTCTGGGTGTGAGAAACCAGAGCAGCATTGCCAGGAAGATTATCGGTTTGTTGTGTTATGGCTTGAGAAGGAACACTATGTCCTAGTATACCATGGGTGTCTGCATTTGTTACCTGGGCTGCTTTAAAGTCAACAACACCAGATTCTGTACCTCCCGTGGAAGGGAGTTCCACAAGTGATGTAGAATCTCTCACAGGACCTGCTCTTCGTCCTAATGTTGTTACACTGTGTTCGTTGTTGACCACAGGAATAGTTGGAGTGATGTTGGCGTTCTGAATGTCTGGAGAACTGTTGGTCGTAGTTTGAGAATGATTGACATGCTTAGTCTGGAAGTTCAGCCTGGGAGACCTGCTGGAATGGGCCCTAGAACGTCCACTAGACCCACCCCTAGAATGTCCACTAGACCCACCCCTAGAACGTCTACTAGACCCACCCCTAGAATGTCCACTAGAGCCACCCCTAGACCGTATACTAGAGCCACCCCTAGAACGTCCTCTTGAGCATTCATTAGAATGTCCCCTTGAATGTTCATAAAAATTACCTCTAGCATGTCCATTGGAATGGGTGGGATTGTACATCTGCCATTTGCTTTCCAAGTAATGGAGATTGTTATGATTCACTATCCGACCAACCATATAATCGCAGTCAGTGTTATGGTGAAGGGAAATATCCTCATGCCCTCTTTCGACAATGAGTGGGGGCAAAAAATCATAGCTGGGGAAGTGGGGTTCATGCTTAACCCGTGTTTCTGTTATTTCTCCACTGCGGTGTAAGGTTACATTAGGGGGTGCCTGGCCTCTCAAGGGTCCAGAGAGATTGGGCCGATCCCTTTTGTTCTGACTCTGAGCCATTCTGTGATGGCCCTGATGATACAGAGGAGGCGGCTGGGTCTCTTGTGCCCCATGTCCATGGATGTCCATTTGACAGTTTTGTCTATTGGAGTTGTAGTGGGCCCGCATGGCAGCTTCTTCCTCATGGTTCAGCGACTGGCGTTCCCTTTCCTGTTGGGTGAGGTACTGTCTTTCACCAGCAGGGGGAGCACTTTCCCAGTGAGCCATATTATGGCGGCTGCATCCGTCAAAATCTCTCCATTCTCTTGCGCTGGCATTTTCACAAGCATTATCCATTTTGTGTCAACTCTGTCTGTCCCAGCACATTGAGCTGGGCTGCATTTCAAGCATATGGGGCACCATCCTCAATAGTTGAATTTTGAGATGTCAATTCTGGAGAAAGAAGGATAGAGACTGTTGAGAAAACTATGCAATGGTTATCCATTGATATGATGACTTTCGCTGGTATTAAGGAATTCAGAATGCAAGAATAGAACTAAACTCTGAGATGGAGATTTAATAATACGGTACCGGATTCAACATAACAAGATACAAGTGAGTTGCCTCTCGCTATCTGAATGATAGACAAAGAGATCTCTCAGTTTATATACTTCAGGGTAAACAAGTTCTAAGCAACAGCTGACAACCATCAGTGGAGGACACTCCCAACCCTGATGGTATCAGCCGGCACCCCAGTCAGGATAATAATTCTAAGATTAACACCGGTGGCTTCCCCTAGACTTCCTGGCACCCAGACTTTCTGGCTCCCAGACATTCTGGGGCCCAGAGTGACCTAGATAAATGGAATGTCCCCATTCCCAAATCCTGTGTAACACGTAATATCAGTTGCCCCATTTTCTTTCTTTATCTGTTGTAAGTAAAATTCCCCAGATATAACATTACGCGGCAGGTGGCTTAGTGGGTAAGAGCGTTGTGCCAGTAACCGAAAGGTTGCTGGTTCTAATCCCCGAGCCGACTAGGTGAAAAATCTGTCGATGTGCCCTTGAGCAAGGCACTTAACCCTAATTGCTCCTGTAAGTCGCTCTGGATAAGAGCGTCTGCTAAATGACTCAAATGTAAATGTCAAATGTAAATGTAATTACTTTAACTAAACAATTCACATCACACTCCACTTCCACAATAAAATATTCTCCAATAGTGGTATACATATGATTGGAGTCTAAACTATGCCATATAACTGAGAAGGAATCCCCCCTTACAATCTCTATACTTGAATCCAAACGGATTCTCAATATATTTAATCAAAAAAGGAAAGATCCCACATAGACATACATATGGTGGTCCTCTGTAGCTCAGCTGGTAGAGCATGGCGCTTGTAACGCCAAGGTAGTGGGTTCGATCCCCGGGACCACCCATACACAAAAATGTATGCACGCACGACTGTAAGTCGCTTTGGATAAAAGCGTCTGCTAAATGGCATATTATTATTATTATTATTACATATTTTGTAAATAACACACTTGTATACATAATTTTCAAGTATACCCATCCTCTTAACCAGGCTAATAAGAAAAACATATATATAGATGAATGCTTGACATCATCCAAGAAAATACATTGATTCATGACTATTTCTAAGTTAGTTACAATAGAGGTATATGAATATATCCCAATAAAAATAACTTCAGAATTCATTCTTCATTCAGAGGAACCCCAAGTTTTTTTTTTTTTTTTACATTGTTGCGCTATCTGATCATAGTCACGTTCCTACATTTCGATTCCTGTAAACATTATAGTAAAAGTTATACAATCAATGGAATCCACACTTGAATAAGATGATATAGATGAAGAATTTGTAGTTTCTCTCCCTACATTAATATTGACTGATACATCTCTAGTCGTAATCATTGGCATGTTAGTAATCGCTTGTACAGATCTCAAAATCAATCACCCTAAATATGGGAAAACAACACCCCATGACTATTGCTACAATGAGTACTATGGCCACTTGAGGACCTAGAATGCTTGCCATCCATGTGCCCATTGAACTACCACTAAAAAACCTTGAAGACTTCAATAGCATTCAAATTGTTATATCCTCCTAATATCCTTGCATCTCTATTATTATTTCTAATCCCATCCTGTATTTCTCTAATATTTCCCATAGCTTTAGTTACATTCCCAAGACCTTCAGATTCTGATGGTAAGTATGTACAACATGCATCTCCCCCTTGAGCTGCTGTAATAGCATCCAATGCTATGCGACTATTAATTGCATATTGTCTAATGAGTGCCATTTCAGACCCAAGTGCTTGAAATCCCTTAAGTGTTGCATTAGCCACTCTAGCAACATCATGACACGTCAATGCTATGAGATAATGATTAGAATATTGTAATTCCGTATTCCCAAATATAGTCTTGAAAACTAGTACATGTAAATATTCTAAAATCTTGAGGTATTGCGTAGTATCTAGTAGCCAAATCAATCGGATCCGAATTCTTTAAAATGTACATAACCCATAAGTTCTGAAGTCTCTCTTGTAGATCGACGCCCCTTAATGTTTGTAGGGACTATGTTTAGTCTGAACTCTGTTCAACCCTGGCTCCGTTCCAGGAATATGCCTGAGGAGAGATACAAAGGGCAACAGTCTGGTTTCAGTCACTGATAAATCAGGACAGCCGTGGATTAGGTAGGAGTGAGGAATTTGACCAGAAGACAGGTCAGATGACAAGAGAACAAACAGCTCTATTTCACACACACATAACCCAGTGAGAGGAACCAATTAAGTTATTGCCTAGCAACAGAGATGTACCAATGTTTAACCCTTGCTCCGTGTTTCATGTTGTGATTAACTATGTTTAGCTTATAGTCTACTGAAAAATCATCATCATATCCCCCCTCTGGGACTTAAATCGGTCCCACATCCTTACATGCAAACACTTCACATGTAGATAGTGACTAACATAAAAATCAACATGTTCATGATATAAGGCACAATCCTTGCATTAACATTATATATTTCAAAAAGTAAGATTCAAAAGTTTCTACACAAAATAACCAATAAGTGTATCCTAACACATTAAAAATAATGTAGTGTTGTTTTAACCATAATATCTATTTAAAGCAGTTATCTTGTGATTGTATTAGCAATACCTGGGCATGCTGAGAATAGCATCAATATCTTTAGTTATTAACATATTAATAACTTACTGAAAATCACTCAGTCAGGTTATAACCCATAATCAAAACCAAATTAATTATCCAAACCAAATTTAGAATGACAATTCGTAGTGATTCACATTTGTCTTATCACTAAAAGTTAAAAACCCTAAATTTAGCACCCATTAACACTGGCAGAATGTACATTTATATTAACATACAGTATAATTATCCATAATTCTAGTATTAACTTCCTCATAAGGAGAGTAACTACAGATCCTCATCTCAATGCATTCTTAGTACTCTAAATTTAGCAGTGTGTAGACCTCCTCAATCAACCTGATACCCCAAATAAATCAATTACGGGCACAGTTGACCAACCCCTTCCTTCCCCGGCACTCAATCTTCTGGAGTCTCTTCATTATGTTCTTCAGATAACTTCATGGTTCAACGTGGATGGCCCATGACAATGTCCCAATTTCAATGTCTCACCTGAGCCCTCACCATCTCTACCCCCCAGTCTGTCTTGTCCAGTTGCCAACCAGTATACCAGCAACATGAGAGATGTTTTTGAACGGAACTCTATCCATGCTCACTCCACGCTCACTCCACGTAGACTCCTGTCACACTCCCAAGAGAAAAGCATGAGAGAAAGTCTCTCGGTAGAAGTGGTGCTGGACAGGGCCATATTGAACGGCTTGGTCGCTCCTCTTCAGCCGGTTAGAGGGGGTTTTGAGGTTCACACCGTCCTTGACCGAATTATCCCTGCTATGTATCAAGACACCATCTGTAGTAACCTCGAGAGAGGACAGATCAGAACAGCTTAGTTGAGTTTATATCTGATTCAGGAAATCCAGATAAGCATATGACAAATTATTATTTTTACAAATTATTCTTAATATCAGTTGCTAATATACTCCTGCAGAGTCACAGGATCAAGTAGTTAGACCTCTAACCCATCGAGAGAAATCCCAACAATCCAGCAGACTCAATCTGGTGAGATTTACATCGAAACAAAACAAACACAACAATACATTCCTTAATATATCACTCGATACACTCTTACATATCACTCAAGGTGTGTACACTTCAATCCAAAAACCTCAGAGGACTGGTAATTCCCATATTTTGACACGACTCAAAATGTGAGTACTGTATAAAAAACAAAAACAACACTACCACTGGTTTTTTTAAAAACGAATCGAATAAGAATCACTACCCTTAATAACTCCATAAAGAAAAAACTTGTATCTATACATTCATAAGAAAATAGACTTAAGATATCCTACCCTTAATGAAAGACATCGCCCTCTCCTCCTTCCCGTGGTCCAAAATAAAAATATGGCTATGAACTATAAACTTCTTCATAATTAACAGTATTACAAATGACCTTCAAATCAGTTTTATAACTTACCTTAAATTCATCAGCCAATGTCTCTCAACTTTCCAGTGATGGTGATCAAACCACACTTGAAAGTCAGGACAGAGGTCAGCGGTCATTCAAATCCTTCAAAGAAGTGTTTCATTCCATAGTAGACTAATCACCAAAAACAGTCAAACATTTCATACATTTCGTATCCCAAGTGTACAGTAAGTCCTCAGTTATAATCAAAAGAAATCACGTGTTTAAGTAAAACTCACTCAGAAAATAAAAACTTCTGAAAATCCATGTGTGTGACCCTTTAAGATACCTCGGCACTAACCTGTGAAAACCCACTAAATCAAATAAAATCCTACTAAGTAAGTCAAACACGTTTTAACACCACTACCAAATATTAATAACAAGTGTGTTGTGTGTGGTTATTTGCAAACCATAAGCTAAAAAAAAAAAGTTTAAAAAAAAGACTAGCCAGGCCTTATTTAATTTGATAGCTCCCTTTTACGGCCTAATTCGGATATCTTTATACTTATAAAACTGCCGAATTTAACTAACAGCTCTTCCCAAGACCACCGACACTGGAATATTTCAAAGATAGATAATGAAACCCCCATTCTCCTGGAAGAGAAAGTATACATGTCGTTAACATTCACTCTTAATCAGCAACCCAAAAATCGTAATTACAAATAAAACATGAAGATAATTCCACTGTACTCCCTCAAATCATGA